ACACACACGCACACACACACACACATACACACAAACACACACACTGACAGGGTCGTTGCAATATGCATTTTTGCTGCCTGTTGCAGCGCTGCAGCGCTGCACGGCAAAAACGCATAATCGCACCGGCCCGCCTGGTGCGTTCCAGCCTGGGTTTAAATTAATCTAGACTAAGAACGGGCTGTACTGTACGTAGCTCTGTCCAGGGTTACATCACTTTCCGGGCTGTACATAACTGGCGCATTCACCACGCCTCGCCAGCTGCTTCCAGATGATCCATTGCGAGTTGAACTGAGGCGACAGGAGCACCGCTTACATCAACCCCACTTCAAATTTCTCCGAACGGAGCGCTCCGTTATCCAGATTATATATCACAATAAACAGAGCTTTGCAAAGTATCGCGGCCGGATAGCACCGTAGCACCAAAAATCCGCAAGAAACTGTGCAAAAACGCATGGTCGTACCGGCTCGCCTGGCGCGCTCCAACCTGGGTTGCAATTGCATTTAGGCAAAAATGCATAATAATTGGGCAGTACGCCCACTGCAGGTGCAAAGATACGCTTTTTACACAGTTCCCCTCAGGTTTTAGTCAGTATTGGCACTGTTTTTTCCTGCAGATGCTTCTATCTAAAGGAATTGTTACTGCCCACCACGATGGTGAGAAAATATTCCATTAAAGTTCCAGCTTTCTAACTTTACAGGCTCCCGAGTTGGCAACTTACCCGCCAAGAAGTTTCACAGGCCCGTACTTGGAGATCATATGGGCTAGACTGCCCATTTTGGATAGCACATAAAACACTTAGATTAAGTTCCGAAAGTTTCAGCCTAGCAGCTTTTGTAGACCTCGAGATGGAAAACCGGTGCAGACACACATACACACACAGACAACCCGTTGGCAATGCGTGTTTTTACATTGCACAGATGCAAAAAACGCATTAAAAACCTCAAAAAAGAGCAGTAGTTTCGTTGCATAAACTCAGATGGAGGGATTTCGAGAACTACAACTATCTGTCAAAAATAGCGCTGATTCAAAAAAGTGGGAGAGATGTGCTGTTTTTTCGCCGTTCCGTAAACTGGGCAACTGAAAAACAGCTCCTCGAATCTACCCACGGTCGCCTGTTGCAGTGGCCTAACGGCAACATGAATTTTTCCGCAAAGTATAACAAGACAAAAAGCAAAAAAGAAGTCCTGTTCCAACCCACCGCTCGCAACAACTTTCTTCTTTTCACTGAGCCCAGTGCTTCCAATCAGCCCTTTTGGGTGGAGTTTTCCCAAACTGTGTTGACCTCTTGAGGTCAGGCACAAATGGGTAAGAGATATCATCAGTGACCTTCCCGCCACTCGTAACCCTGTAAATAACTTCACGAAAGCACTTCATAGCAGGCTCAGCACGGCACGCCCGAATG